CCTCCCCACCCCAGTCCATCCTCCCTCCATTCAGCCACCAGAGTGATTTTTCTATATCCCAGTTCTGACCACCTCCTTATTGAATAAATTCCAATGGCTCCCTATGACATCTAGGATCAAACAGAAAGTCTCCTGGCCCCTTGCTACCTTTCCAATCTTCTTACACCTTCCTCTCTCCATGTACCCTAGATCAGTGACATTGGCCTCCTGGCTATTCCATGAACAAGACTTTCCACTTCCTGACTCTGAGTATTTTCACTGGCTGTTTCCCAAGCCTGGAATGCTCTCTCTCTCCATCTCTTCCTCCTAGCTTCCCTGGCCTCTTTCAAGTCTCAGCTGAACTCCTACCTTCTGCAAGAAATCTTTCCCAGTCCTCCTTACTCTTAACGTCTTCTCTCTGAGACTCCCCCAACTTACCCTGTACATATCTTGTTCGTGTATAGTTGTCTGCATGCTGTCTCCTCAATTAAACTGTGAGCTCCCTGAGAGCAGGGATTGTCTTTTGCCTTTCTTTGTACTCTCTAACTCGACATGCAAATTCCTAAAAATTGTCTTGCTATGCAAAATTGATCAATAAAAGCCTTAGGACTTATGGGAAATATGGGATTAGGGGCATAACATTCAAAATCTTCTTTAGTGACACATAAAGAAGATGTTCAGTCATTTTCAGCCATGTCTCAGTCTTCATGACCCCATTTGTGGTTTACTTGGCAGAGATACAGGAGTGGTTTGCCATTTCCTCCTACAGTTCATTTTACAGATAGGTAAACTGAGGTAAACAGGATTAAGTGACTTGCCCAGGGTCACACAGCTAGGAAGTGTCTGAGGCTAGATTTGAACTCTGGAAGATGAGTCTTCCTGACTCCAGGCCCAGCCCTCTATCAGCTGCTCCATCTAACATAAAGGAGATAGGAGTCTAATAAAAATGGTAGCACTGTATTGAACATGTTAAATAGTTAAGAAATACATGCATACTACATAAATGGTGGTGATACCAGTAGCCTTGGGCTGATGCTGTCTGCACCCCCAGTTCCATGGGGGCCCAGAGTGGCCTTGGTGGGTAGCAACTCTAGAAAGCAGGGGCAGAGATAGCAGAAGGTGAGGAGGAGGAAGTATGGACTGAGTGGGTTTGGACCAGCTGTCTTCCACCCACAGCTCCTACTGCACCAGAATAAATAGATCTTGAAATAGACCTTATGTTTGCTTGTGAAAACTGGAAGTGAGAGAGGTAAGGGTTATATAGCTTGTAAATTACTGTAAAATGATGTCATCCCACTGATATGTGTTTGAGGGATGTGTGTGTGTGCGTGTGTGTTTTATGCTCTGTTTAGCTGGGTATGGTTTTCCATTTCTTGTTCACAAAATTGAGCATAAGTAAACTCAAAATTTCAGGTTATGCTCAAATTATTCCCTAATATATAAATTATTTTGTAACAAATTCATGTTTTCGAAACAAGCGTTATAACAGAACTGACTGTATACCCTTGTTCCTGAAATACAACAGGTGACTAATACATGCTAGTTGATTGGCTGAGAGCATAAGAGTGGAGAGGGATCTTAGAACAGAGAATGCCAGAGCTTGGAAGGGCATGAAGGACCGTCTAGTCTGTCTTCTATCCTGACATCTTACAGATGAAGAAAGTGAGGCACAGAGAGTTATGTAATAATACCGCTCCCTCCCCTTCGCATCTCAGCCCACACTTTATAGCCAGCCGCCTCTGCCCCGTAGTTAAGCAGCAGGGAACACTGCCCACTGTGGTACTCACCAGGATCCTGTTGTCAGTCTTGGTAACAGTGACCAGTCGGTTCTCACTGAGGTGACCTTCCCTGCAGGCCTGCTTCATGCCGATATCAGCGATTTCAGGGAAATCGCAGAAAGGCTGCGGGCTCTGGCCAGAGTAGAAATGGAGAGAGGCAAGGGGAGATTAGATGAGGGGCCCTTCATCAGAGCCATTCATCCCCCATCCCACCCTCAAAGCAAAGGGGAACCAAACCGCAGTACCTCACTGCCCCCAGGGGTCCAGGAGATGCCGCTGTCTCCGGCCACGTGGATGAGGCAGTTGGGGTCCTGGCCAGATGCAGCCCCTGGCGTCCGGCCCTTGAAGGTCTCTGAAGCCCGGATGGATTTCAGCCTCTCCAGGTCCATGAGGTATTTAAGCATGATTGAGTGCACATCTGCCTGGCAGGAAGCCACTCTCTTCAGGGCTCGGCTTACCATCCGACGATAACGCCTTCGAGTCATGAAGCTAAGACTTTGAATCAAACGTCGGAAGCTTCCTGGGATACAGGCTTTATAACTGGGGGAGGAGAAGCCATGGACTGATCTCACATCACCCATATCCAGAGGTCTTCCGAGGTAGGGGCTGGGGAGTGGTCATCAGAGCAAGGTGGCATGCTGCCTGGGGCTTCCTTTCTGCCAGGGTTCCTTGCTCCTTCCCTGATTTTTGGCTGGCTGTTGACCCTCCCCTCCTCCCCTCCTCCCCTCTATCTCTCACGGACATTACTGTTCATCCCACATAGATGACCCTACCATCTGCCCTGACGCTATGCCCTCCAGATCTCTAGGCACTGCCATCTGACCTGCCAATGCACCCTAATCCCCCTGGGACTTGCCTTCTTCCCTACCACTTCAACCTTAGGAAAGCTCAAAGACCACCAGCCTTTCCACAGACCCTCCAGATGAACCCTCTTCTATGTCTGCTATCCCCCAATTAGAATGTAATTCTATTTGTGTCCCTGGTGGTTAGCACAGTTTCCCACATATGTAACCTGGGTCTCCAGCCAAGCCTGGTGTATGTGCCTGAGACTCTCCTAATTGGTGGAGGAAAAAACAGATTTGATCCTGTGCGACTGGGTGAAAGCTTTGGAGAAGAAAGATTCTTCACTTTGAGAGACACATGTGGTTCTAGACTCTCTTTGGGATTAACTCCAGGGAGGAGAAACCGAATCTCTTACAGACATGTAGGAGAATCTGGCTCCTTCATATGTCCTAAGTTTCCAGCTTGCCCCCCTAGAAATTGCAAGGAATTTCCCTTTGGGTGAGACCAGGGCCTCCATTTTGGTGTGATTGAATGATACCTCACTCCCAGAAGGACAGCTCATTCACTCTGTGTACTTTCTGGTATGATTAATCTGTAACTTCTTCCATTTCTGTTTGCTATTTGCTTAGGTAATTGAGTTTACTCATTGTTTATTCACTATATGTGATGGCCATTTATGTAACTAGCATCTGGTGACAATGAGTCAAGCTGGTAGGTATAAGCTAAGGTCATACCTTAGGTTGCCTCCTCCCTTTAAGGGATAGTGATCAGGGAACCTAGGAGCTTTGTGTACCCCTAGACCAGGAATATTTAGGGGAGCAAACAGATATAATTTAAATCCAGGATCCCCTTTCTCAGTGGAGAACAGAGCAATGAGCCTCATGGTACTCCCCTCAAGGTAGGAATCTCAGTCTCCCACTGACACTTGGTAGAAAAGATTCCAGAGATATCTATCAGTGTCTCCTTGCTGAACTGCCTGTATGTATGTGTAGACATCCCATGTAGGCACATACTTCTTACATGGGCAGTGCACACAATACACATAGTAAGCGTTTGATAAATGCCTTTTTATTCATTCATCACATATATGTCAACAAGCATTTTATTAAAAACTTACTAAGCACCAGGCACTGTGCTAATCACTGAGGCTAGAAAAAAGGCAAAAATAATCCCTGTCCTTAAGGAGCTTATATTGTAAACACAACAAGGACTATAACTATGTACATACAAGAGACAGAGAGATAAATAGACTGATTAGACTGAGAGTTAGATAGATAAATGTTGGACTGAATAGATAGATTGATTAGATTGATAGATAAATGATAGATTGGTTAGATAGATTAGATAGATAGATAGATAGATCATACAGGCATATAGATGATAGATAAATAGATTGATTAGATAGATAGATAGACAGATAGATAGATAGGCAGATAGACAGATAGATATGGCAAATTAGAAATTATCTCAGAGAAAAGGCACTAGCTTTGAGGGAGATCTGTAAAGGCCTCTTGCAGATGATGGGATTTTTGAGTCGAGTCCTGAAGAAAGCCAGGGAAGTCAGGAGTGGAGATGAGCGAAGGAGAGCATTTCAAACATGGCAGACAACTTATGTAAAAGTACAAAGCTGAGAGACGGAGTATCTTGTGTGAGTAGCAGCAAGAAGACCAGTTTTGCCAGATAGTAAAGTACCTGGAGTCGAGTAAAGGGTAAGGCTAGAAAGGAAGGAAGGAGCCAGGTTATGGAAGGCTTCCAACGCCGAATAGAGTATTTTCTATCGGATCCTGGAGGTAATAGGGAACCAGCAGAGTTTACTGAGTAGGGAAATGACCTGGTTAGACCAAAGGTTTCTTTTCTACTGGTGTTCTTCAGGAATATCACTTAGGCAGCTGAGTAAAAGATGGACAGGAATAGGGAGAGATTTGAAACAGGCTGACCCACCAGCAGTTCTTGCAATGATCCAGGTGTGGGGTGAGAGGGGTGACGGTGTCAGAGGAGAGAAGGGGATGTATTTGGGAGATGTTACAAAGGCAAAATTGACCGATCTTATTAACAGATTGAATATTGCCGGGGTGGGGGGGGTGTTGAGAGAGAGATACAGAAACAGAGACATGTAGGCTTCAAGCCTGGGAGAATGGGAGGATGGTGGTGCTCTCAACTGGTATAGGAAAGTTAAGAGAGGGCTTTAAGGGAAAGAGAATGAGGTGAGTTTTAAGCGCTTTGGGTTTCAGATGTTTGCAGGATATCCACCGCAAGACCTCTAATAGGAAGTTGGAGATGTGAGGTCAGCAAAGAGGTCAGGGCTGGATAAGTAGGTCTGAGAATCGTTAGCGGAGAGATGGTCATTAAATCCGTGGGAACTAATGAGATCTCCCAGTGAAGTGGTAAAGAGAGAGAGAAGAAGAGGGCCCAGGACAGAACCCTGTGGGACATGTATGCTTAGAGGGCATGATCTGGAGGAGGATGAAATGAGAGAGAGAAGGGGTGGTCAGAGAGGTAAGAAGAGAACCAGGAGAAGCGTGTTGTCCTGAAAACCTAGAGAGGAGAGAGTATGAAAGAGGAGAGGGTGATCCATAGTGCCAAAGTCTGCAGAGAGGTCAAGGAGAATGAGGACAAAGAAAAGGCCATTGGGTGTGGCAACTAAGAGATCATTGGTAGCTTTGGAGAGAGCGGTTTCAATGGAATGATGGGGACAAAAACCATACTGCCAACAGTTTAGAGGAGAGGGAGTGAGGGCACCATTTCATTCACAACACAGGGAAGCCCAGAAGACAAAACGTGTGGAAGGATTGGCTAGGTAACGGCTCTTGTGATAAAGACAGGAAGGGGGTGGTGGGACTGTGATTTGGTGCAGTCATTCTAGACATCAGTTTGGAACTTGGCCCCCACTAAAATCACTAACTCTGCATACCCCTTGACCTAGCAATATCATGTTCCCATGTCTGGAATGCCCTCCCTCCTCATCTCTGCCCACAGACCTCCCTGGCTTCCTTCAAGTCCCAGCTAAACTCCCACCTTCTGCAGAAAGCCTTACCTACCCCGTCCTAATTCCAGTGCCTTCTTTCTGCAAATCATCTCCTATTCATCCTTCATATAGCCTCACTCTCTCTTCTAGAGTCATCGAGTGAGGCTGACAACTTCGTGCAGTTCTGCCTCACTTAAATCCAATTCACTCATGAGTCAAGACTTCACCCCGTGATGTCACTGATCCTCTTCGAAAGTGAAGGACAAACAACATTCTGTATATAGCCTATGTGGACATATTTGTTTGCTTTTTGTCTTCCCCATTAGATCGTAAGCTACCTGGGGGCAGGGCCTTTCTCTTGTCTCTTTTTGAATCCCCAGAACTTAGAACAGTGCCTGAAGAATTGTAGGCACTTAATAAATGCTTATTGATTGATGACTACAGAGATTAAAAAAAGAGAAAAAGGACCTGTATGCGCAAAACTCTTTCTAGCTGCTGCTTTTTGTAGTTGCAAAAACTGGGAACTATAAAAGCCCACAAATTGGGGAAGGGCTGAAGAAGTTATGTTGTATCACCATAAGCGTGCAGCAAGAAATGATGAAGAGGATGGTTTCAGAGAAACTTGGGAAGACTTGGATGACCTGATGCAGAGTGAAGTGAGCAGAACCAGGAGAACAAGCTAAGCAATAACAACAAAGACAGCTTCAAAGACTTAAGACCTCTGATGAGCAAAGTGACAAACTACAATTGCAAGGGGCCGTTGATGAATGCTATCTGCCTCCTAACACACAGGTGACGACTAAGATGCAGAATGATAACATACACTTTTGGATACAGCCAATGCAGAAATTTATTTTGTTTGGCTACACATATCTATTATGAGGATTTTTTTTGTCTTGTTTTTCCAATGGGGGGAGGTCAGGGGGAGGGAAAAGAATGCTTGTTAGTTGAAAAAATTAAATAAAAAAAAAAGATCATGGTGGTGTGGTAGTGGGCTGCAAGTTCAAGATGAGGCAAAAAGAATGATGTTGTAGCCAGGAGAGCAAGAGAGGCCTAGCGAGGGATGGTAGCACTGTCATCAGCCCCGGTCAGACCCCATCTGCAGTATCTCCATTTCAGGGAGTATATTCCAGAAGACAGAGACTGGAATGAGGTGAAGCCTGGAGATCATAGTAATATACAAGTCTGGACTGAAGAAAACGGGGAGGATAAGTCTGTAGAAGACTTGGGATGGAATAAGAGTTAGTTGTCTACAAGTTGGAATGAGCACTGGCTCTAGGTTCAAATCCTGATCAGTACCTGTGTGACCTTGGGCAAGTCACTTAACTTCTCTTGGCCTTAACTTCCTCACCTGTAAAATGAGGGGTTTGGACTAGATGAGCACTAATATCCATTGTGGCCCTACATCCATGATCCTAAGTTAAGCACTTGTAAAAGATTTCTACCGAGGCTGACGCGATGATCCTTTAACAAATTTTAGCTTAAAGTAAGCAAACGCTCCCTAATCAATAGAGTCCTCCCTACATGGGATGGGCTGCCTTGGGGGGGAATTGGTTTCCCCATTCCTGTGGGCCAGTAAGGTGAGACTGTGTGTCATAAATGATCTTCAAAGGCTTCCCATTCAGGTCTGGGTTGGACTAGATGGTTTGAGAAGTCCTTTTGAACTCGGAGATTCTGTGATTTTAAGATTATTTTTAATTAACATACATATATATACTCCAATGTGTATACATATTATATCATATATATGATATAACATACATACATTCTATATGGTATAGAATATATGTAT